TAAAAATTCAGTGTGTACAAAAACACTACTAACACACAGTACATAGTCAAGGACTATGCTGCTGAATGTTATAAACTACTCACAAACTTAAGACAAAGACAGTCTTGGACTTATACGCCTCCATTATCACGTTAGCTTTTATAAAAAGTTGGCTGGTCCTAAAAGTATGCAGCAAACAGCTGAACCAAGCAGATTAAAATTAATGCATAATAGTGCAGACTATGAAAATGAGTGACTAAACATGCAAATGGTGAGCCTTCAAGATGCCCCATCAAGGCTAAATGACTAATGACTTTATGACTAATTTCACACCATATGATCCATAAGAATTATCTTCATATTTCTGCTGCTTATGGGAATTTACATATTTCTCTCCTCAATGGGAATATTATTCATCAAAGTCCTTATCTCAACCTAGAAATCTATTAAGAGACTATGTCTTCAATTTTCTCCTTTTATATATATGTGGGGGAGTGGGTGGGCATTATCTTAGGAAATTATCAATAACCCTAACACGAAATGTTGACGCTTATGCTAGTTTAGAAATCCCTTGACTTACCTATTTAAATTATTAATCAAAAGTAAACTTTTTCTGTCTTTTTGAAAAAGGTAGGGTGGGGTAGGGAAGAATTATCTTACTCTGAAACATGTAAATGATTAATTACAACTTTACGTTAATATTAGGCAATAAATAGGAAACACCATTCTCTAGGGGAAAAAAAAAAAGGCTGGGAGAAAACTACAGAGAACATGAGCTTAGAAATCAAGGCTACGAATTTGGAAGCTAATTCCAGTTATATTCATTAGCTATAGGACTTTGGACAAATTACCTATCTTCTGATTCTGTTTATTCATCACAAAAATCAGCATAATTTCTACCTTGAAAAGATTTTTCTGAGGATGAGTGGGTACTTAATGTTCAAGAGAAGTTATTTCATGTTTTCACGACCTCTACCCACAAATAAGAGAAACTGGTCACTAAAAGATCCCAACTTATTCTGCTTTTAAGGTATAACCATACTGGGAATTTTGAGGGTATTACAGTTAAAGGCCTTCAATCTTTCTGAGGTCATGAAGCATTCTGAATGTTGGGAAAAGGAAGGATAGCAGACATATATAACTTGCTGCATACAATTTCAGTAAGTTCATGGACTCCTTGAAGACTCTATGAAACTAAAAGAAAATTTTAAATCCCAAAAAATTAATGCCATGTATCTGACTTACTTCCACCTTAAAAATATACATATGTAAATTTAAAAAGATTAAATAATCCTTCCCAGTTAAAAGTGGAAAGGAAGCAAAAGCTCCACTGACTTGTATTCAATCACAGGTGCTCCTGGCAGCTTCTACTTTGTCACCTTTGTCACCATAGGAACTTTCAGGAAGTTTTCTTTCCTCTTTACCATAGCTTGCTCAAAATCAAACCATGAATGGCTTTAAGAAGAAAAAAAAAAGTCTAACCCTAGTTTCCAAATTAGTGATTTAACAAGGCAAGCTCATTCATTAAATCTGAAGATGACTTCATGAGTCATTCAAACTTCTCCTTATACTTCAATTACTTTCAAAAGGTAAACTATTGAAAATGCTGCCTATATGAAATAGTTTAAAACAAAAAAAAAAATTTAGAATCTAATAAATAATTCATTCTAGCTCTTGTCAATATGCATATATTCAAATGTATTAGGCAAACAGTAGGTAGGAAATGAGACTTATTTAATGTTTATATTAATATATGGTAACTGTTCAATAAAAATTTACTGAACATATAACCTGAATTCCTATAACAGGAATGAGAATGAAGACAACTAAATATTAATTACAAGTAGCATACTGCTTGACACATAACAGATTTTAAAAAATAATCTGCCAGATGAGCAAACCAATGAATGACTAAATGACTGACCAAATAACAAAAGAAAAACAATGACTAAAACTTTTAGACAATCTATATTTCAAATTTTCTGCTACATTAACAAGCCAGACACTCTAGGTTTTTAGCTAAGTAAATGTGAAGTTAAGGAAAAATTATCAAAGACAATGTAAAGGCTTACAGCTTGACATAAATATGGGTGCTAAGAAGCTATATTTAATGAATTACTTGAACAAAATCATACTGTTTATTGCTTTGATTCTTAATTGTTGAAACAAAAACCTGACTCAAACCTGCTGGTATGCAACAAAGTTCAAGACAAACAAACTCCAAAAAACAAGTAATTCAAAAAAATGCACACATTTTACTATGCAGTTTTCTAGATTTCAATACAATCAAAATACCAAATAGGAATGAAAATGCAGAAACAAAAGTCCAGAGTCAATATAGTTTATTTTAATGGCTTTGTTTTTTTAAGCAAAGCCACATAACAAAGTTAAAAAAAAAAATAGAATACCATAGTTGAATAAAGAAATTATCTACATTTGCCCATTTGGTGCCTAAAAGTTGAAAGAGCAACCTCCACATTGGAGAAGTTGAAAGAGTCAAGATGGGAGCTAAATAAGTCAGAAAATCCAGACTGGGTAACAAATTTGGGTATCTAACTGCTAGGTTATATATTCCTTGAGATATTATATCTCATTCAGACACATAGGCAACATATAAAAGTGGTTAAGAATTTTGGGGGGGTATACTGGAATCATCTTGCAAATATGATACTTAGGCCAGTTACTTAAACCATCTTTGCTTCTGTGTCACCTTATCTAAAATGCAAAGAATGATACACCTACCTCAAAAGATTTACATAAGATGACACGTATTTGTAAAACCTGGCACCTAGTTAACTGCTTAGCAGCAGTATTCCCAGTGGGACTGGAATTTACTACTGGGATCAAATATATATTTTATACAGTAAATATCTGCTCAATTAATGAAAAAGAAAATTCCATTAGGAAATCTGGAATGACTGGATGGTCGTACAGATAGACTAGAAAATAAAGATCCAGTTTTCTGGAACATATTCATTCTAACAAAACAGGAATGACTTTAGAATTTCATTAAAAAATACTAAGTGTTACCACTCTATTATACTATGGTGCCATAAGAAATGGTGAGTTGTATGACAAGAGAGCCTTTAAAAGAGAATTGAAGGAGGTTTCTCTCAGTACCTAACCATAATTTGGAAGGTAGAAGAAGCTGAGAGAATCAATCATATTCTGATGTAGTCACCTATCCTACAAATCGATAGCACCCTAGGAAGAGCAGACCAATCTACATAGGATATTTTGTCTCCCTGACTTCACCAAGATAATGAACGGTGAAACATTAAGACAGGTATCCTTGAAAGGGAACTGTGGGGTGATGGACAAATCCATTATCTTGTTTTGTGTGGTGTTTACTTAAGTATATACAATGCCAAAACTAATAAAATTAAGCATGTAAGAATTGTGCATTTCATTCTATGCTAGTTATACCATTAAAAACTGGTTCATTTAAAAAGCGCTCCCTGCTTTTCTCCCTGGAAAATGTAATAATTTACTAATAGTATAATCAAATCTAGATTAACTATAAAATTAACTAGAGGATGATGTCACCCAACTAAAAATATTTTGGATAAGGTATTCTTTTGACTTTTCAGTGACAGATGATGTAAAAGTAATTCTTTGAGATCACAGACTACTAAAATTCCTTCTGTTCTAATTTTTGCAGAATCTAGGAATGAACATGCACCGTTTAGCCACATTTCTTTCACTTGTTGGTCAAAACTTTATGTTTGAGAGGATTTTCAGTGGGAAATTGCTTGTTTGTATCACTGGTTGTCTTGTGTTACATTTGGAGGAAAAGGGCTTGGGAGAAAAATACGACAGATATTACAGTGTTCAACTAGAAATCCCAAAACCAGGATTCTAGCTCTAGGATTAAAATGTACAGGGCAACTTTGGACACAGCACTTGAATATTCTGTGCTTGTGATATTCTGCTATCACAGGGCTGTGATAGGATAAAGTGTATTAATTTGTGGAAATACTTTGAAAAGTCAAAGCAATGTGTTATTCTAACGTGGCATTGGTGACATGATACCATAGACATAGTCAAGCCCCAAACTTAATCCTGACAGTTATAGGTTCTTGGAAAATCCCCATATACATCTCCCTTGAACTTGAATAGAATGTTCAAGAGGGTGGAAACAGGTAGGTTATCCCCTCTCTCTAAAAAAGGGGGTAAGAGGGTGATGTGTTTTCCACTATTGAACTTCCATAATTCTACATTTCTGGAATGTATCTTCCAAAAGATTTGATATAATCTGGTAAATATTGAAAGAGGAGTGGGGAATAAGGCCCAGATTAAGATAGATTCTTCCTGTCCCTAGTGTTGTCAACAATCAATGAGGAGATAAATTGCTCCTGGAGTACAGGAAGCTTGACTTCTAAAATATTGTTAAACAAGCAATCAGCAAACATTTACTGTATTCTTTAACAAATCTTTGGCACACACCCAAGAGCTCCCTCAAACTGCGTGCATCCCAGGAACGAGTGAGAGTAAGGCCTAGATGTCTTCAGATCATCCATCACAGCTCTCTCCCGCCTCCATTCCAGGTCCAGCAGAGTGGCCTCGGGCTATCACACCCTTCCCTGACCTCCCCTTCCCCAGGGCCGCCAGCCTCACCAGCTGTTCCCGGCTGCTGGAGCTCCGATCGGTTGGCGCCCGGCGGCCCCGAACATTAACGACACCCAGGAGCCTGGCCTCGAGGCTCAGGCCCGTGAACAGACTCCAACTACTACAGCACCGGCGACTTCCAAAGAGCAGTTCAGCATTTTGAGATGAGCTTCCGGAAGCCGACAGGAGGCGGAAACCGGATGCCCGAAGCAACCATTAGTTCTCCGCGTCTATTGCTTTCCGTTCCTATAATCCCCTCTTCCTACTAGCAATTGAGACAGAGACAAATAAATTAAACTTTTTGTGCTACACAGAGATTTCTTAATTCTCTTTTTAGTACTCTTAAAGTGGAAGTAGCGTGAGAGAAAAGAGGAGTGAACAAAAAGTCGGACCCCGGGAATGAGCTATGGTTTAGCCCAGTTACCATGGAGACCGGTAGTAACACCAGTTGTAAACCCAAGGCCGAAAGACCATGGCCACGTTAGCCCGGCTGCAAGCTAGGTCGTCGACTGTAGGAAATCAGTACTACTTTAGGAACAGGTAAGTCAGGAAGAGAAAGATCGCGTAAAGGGCAGGCGTGACATTATACCAGTTATTCCTCAGCGGGAGTTTCCAATTAACGATTTCCCTGATTCGTTAAGTAGTACCCAATTCTTCCCTTAATGGGCTGCAAACAGAATCGGGAGTTTCTGTTACCATACAACGAAATTCTAAATAGAGAGGGGCCATAGATACTCCGTGTGAGATGATTTAGAAAAACTCCCAGCATAGATAAAATTGTAAAGTGCTTTTTCTCTTCGACATCACCACTCTGTAATTTCATGAAACCTTTGTTCTCCGGGTTCAAGGTTCAATACCTGACTGGGGGTCACCTGGCTCACTAGCCCAATGAGCTCAGACTGTTTCCCATCCACCTAGGGATTTGAGCCTCCATTATTTTACAAACATCACTGAACCCAATTGTTCTATGACTCATTTCCCTTTCTAAAATTAACATATCGGCCGGGCGGGGTTGCTCACGCCTGTACTCCTAAAACTTTGGGAGGCCGGCCGAGGCGGGCGAATCACTTGAGGCCAGGAGTTCGAGACCAACCAGACCAACATGGTGGAACCCCGTCTCTACTAAAAATATAAAAATTAGCCGGGCACTGTGGCTCATGCTTGTCATCCCAGATAGTTGGGAAGCTGAGGCAGGAGAATCGCTTGAACCTGGGAAGCGGAGGTTGCAGTGACCTGACATTGTACCACTGCACTCCAGCCTGGTTGACAAATTAAGACCCTGTCTCGAAATAAAATAAAATAAGAAATAAAATGAAAGTGTCTAAACCATTCTGACACAGTAACTAGTACCAAATACTAATTAATAGACAACGAGTAAGATAACCACTAGCAGTCTTCTTCATTTCCCTACACCCAAACTTCTTGCCTAGGAAGAGTTTCATTTTAAAGAAGCATTGCCCCAGGAGTTTCTGTAACTTAAGAGAAACTACAAAAAAGTGTATTAGACTATTATGGAATACAGTGATATGACAGACCAATGGAAAATGTGTCAATGAGATAGGGTCTTGCTGAGCTGTTTTTATTCTAACGTTTATCTCACCTACCATATCATTATTTCACAATGTACCTCTCTTACAGCACTGATCACAATTCAATTTTACATTATTTTATGAGATAATATCTAACTCCCCTCTTAAACTAGTAGTAGAGACAGTGTCTCTTATTTTGCTCACCAGTATTTTTGTCTGCAATGTCTATGATAGCTCCATACAAGTAATAGTAACACAATAATTGTTGAAGACTCACATTAATGAATCTTTCAAAAAATCACTAGCCCTGGTTTAAGTAAACATTACTAACAATAGCTAAACATATAAATTATTTATTTATTTAGAGTATGTGGCAGGTGCTGTATTTATGACATATATAAATGAAATAAGCCACATCCATCATGATGTTCACACTCTAGTATGGAATATAGGCTTTTTAAAAATAATTACAATACTAACTGGGCTTGGTGGTTCATGCCTATGATCCCAGCACTTTGGGAGGCTGAGGCGGATGGATCGCTTGAGGGCAGGAGTTCGAGACCAGTCTGGCCAACATGACAAAACCCTGTCTCTACTAAAAATACAGAAATTAGCCAGGCATGGTGGTGCATGCCTATAGTCCCAGCTACCCTGGAAGCTGAGTCAAGAGAATCCGTTGAACCCGGGAGGCAGAAGTTGTAGTGAGCCGAGATCGCACCACGCACTCCAGCCTGGGCGACAGAGCAAGACTCTGTCTCAAATAAATAAATAAATAAATAATAACAACAACAATAGAGTAACATGGATAGGAAGGGAAACAACCAGTATTTTTTGAGGACTGCATTTATGGGGGATTGCACTAGGAACTACTTCATATGATCTTTCATTTGGTTATCACAATGTTACAAGTGAATGTATAAATGATCTATTTATTAGATAATCTATATTTTTGGAGCTATAGAACAGTGTCCTAGAAAAGCCTGATGAAGTGCCAAGCAAACACAAATAATTGGCCAGGAATAGAGACTCAGGCCTGTAATCCCAGCACGTTGGGAGGCCAAGGCAGATGGATGGCTTGAGGTCAATTATGAATTATCAGAGCCAACTAATCTAACTCTAAAACCTATGCTGTTCACTATCACTAAACAAAATTTTCTTCCCATTAAGCTGATTTAATTAAATTGCAACAAACACCAAGACCCAGAGGTCCAAATGGCTTGAGAATACTGTCCCAAATCCATTAACACGTAGGGAACAGAGTTGTGGGAAACAATTTAAACTCTCCTTGGTTTCTTTCGATGTCTTCTGTTTTGGTAACAAGGTAGGGACAAAAATGCTTCTTCCTAATGACTAGCATCAGAATAATGCTTAAATTGAAAGATGACTTTGTTGAGAAAATATATTCCTAAGTGGTTAGGTTAGTATCTGAGTCCTGCAAGGCCTGGAAGTCCAACGTGGAAAAGAGAAGCTCCTCTGCCTAACAAAGAGAAAGGATCTGGAACTCCAAGAAGTGAGCAGCAAATACAGGAGGAGATTTTGAACTACAAAGAGTAGGAGGAGCATGGGTTGCCTGACTGACGTAATACTCTGGAAAGTTGCTCCCACAGGGAATGTTTGGTGTGTGTTTATGTTTTGATCTGGTCCATCAAAGAGGCTGAATATTTTGTCCTGGACATAAGGTGAGCAAAAGATAGTAGGCCATTGTTGTAACTACCCAATGGGTTCACCTTGCCCGTTGCCTAGACAGAGCCAATTTATCAAGAGGGGAATTGCAATAGAGAAAGAATAATTCACACAGAGCCAGTTGTACGGGAGACCAGAGTTTTATTGTTACTCAAATCTGTCTCCCTGAGCATTAGGGGATCAGTTTTTAAGGATGATTTGGTGGGTTAGGGTGAGGCCAGTGAGTCAGGAGTGCTGATTGGTTGGGTTGGAGATGAAATCATAGAGGGTAGAACCTGTCTTCTTGCACTGAGTCAGTTCCGGGGTGGGGGCCACAAGGTCAAAGCCAGTTTATCAATGAGCCAGTTTATCAGTCTGGGTGGTGCCAGCTGATCCAACAAATGCAGCATCTGCCAAATATCTATAGCACTGATCTTAGATTTTCCAATACTGATGTTATCCCAAGGAGCAATTTAGGGAGGGTCAGAATCTTGTAACCTCCAGCTGCGTGACTCCCAAACCATAATTTCTAATCTTTTAACTAATTTGTTATTCCTACAAAGGCAGTCTAGTCCCCAGGCAAGAAGGGGGTTTGCCTTGGGAAAGGCCTGTTATCATCTTTGTTTTAAACTATAAACTAAGTTCCTCGCAAAGCTAGTTCAGCCTATGTCCAGGAATGAACGAGGAGAGCTTGGAGGTTAGAAGCAAGATGGAGTTGGTTAGGTAAGCTCTCTTTCACTGTCTTGTTACAGTTTTGCAGTGGCAGTTCCGTTGTCACTTGACAGAGTATTGGCCTTTTTGTTGTTGTTTTAACTTTCTCTGGTATTTCTTAGCTTCATTTCTGTTCTTCCGAACTATGAGATTTTCTCTGTGACTTATTGGTCATTTATACTACACACTATGCTGCACTGTGTGGTGAGAAGAGTTCAGTATATGTTTATTGATCATATTGTTCTTTTTCCCCATATTCTTATTTAAATTTCATCTAATCTGTCAAATTCTAATAGGAATAAGGTAAAATGTTCCTCTTCCACTGTGTTTCTATAGTGTGGGTGAACCCAAAGTATCTGAGACAGGCTTCAGTCAATTTAGAAAGTTTATTTTGCCAAGATTAAGGATGCACCCATGACACAGCCTCAGGAAGTCCTGATGTCATGTACCTAAGACAGTCCGGGTACAGCTTGCTTTTATGCATTTTATGGAGACATAATACATCAATCAATACATGTGAGGTTTATATTGGTTCCACAATGGGGGGGCCTTTTAGGTCTTAGGTAGGTTTAAAAATTTTCTGGCCGGGCGTGGTGGCTCACGCCTGTAATCCCAGCACTTTGGGAGGCTGAGGTGGGTGGATCACTTGAGGTCAGGAGTTCCAGATCAGCCTAGCCAACATGGCAAAACCCTATCTCTACTAAAAATACAAAAATTAGTCGGGGCTGGTGGTGCGCCCCTGTAATCCCAGCTACTCGGGAGGCTGAGGCAGGAGAATAACTTGAACCCAGGAGGCAGAGATTGCAGTGAGCCAAGGTCGCACCATTGCACTCCAGCTTGGGCAACAGAGCAAGACTGAAATTCTGATTGGCATGTAATTGAGTGAGTTATTATCAGTAGAAAGAAATGAGGAACGTCTGGGTTATGATAAGGGATTGGGGAGACCTAGGTTTTATCGTTTTATCATGCAGATGAAGTCTCCAAGTTGCAAGCTTTAAAAAGAATAGACTGAGGCCAGGTGCAGTGGCTCAGGCTTGTAATCCCAGCACTTTGGGAGGTCAAGGCGGACAGATTATGAGGTCAGGAATTGGAGACCAGCCTGGCCAACATGCTGAAACTCCGTCTCTACTAAAAATACAAAAAATAGCTGCATGTGGTGGCGGGTGCTTGTAATCCCAGCTAATCGGGAAGCTGAGGCAGGAGAATCACTTGAACCCTAGAGGTGGAGATTGCAGTAAGCCGAGACCGTGCCACTGCACTCCAGCCTGGCAACAGAACGAGACTCTGTCTCAAAAATAAATAAATAAATAAATAAATAAATAAATAAGAAAGTAACCTTTGACTTATTATTATTATTATCATTTTTAGACAGAGTCTCGCACTGTGGCCCAGGCTGGAGTGCAGTTGCGTGATCTCAGCTCACTGCACCTCTGCCTCCCAGGTTCAAGAGATTCTCCTGCTTCAGATTCCTGAGTAGGGGGGATTACAGGCACCTGCCACCACACCCAGCTAATTTTTTTTTTTCTTTTTAGCATTTTTAGTTAAGACGGGTTTTCACCATGTTGGCTAGCCTGGTCTTGAACTCCTGGGCTCAAGCCATCTGCCCACCTCGGCATCCCAAAGTGCTGGGATGACAGG